TATACAGGATTATGTTAGCTGGCCAGCTCCCTGTATTCTTTCTCTCCCCAATTATTTCAACCACTGACCCTTTGATCCCCATATTTAATTATGAGATTTTAAACACCAACACCCTTTTGTAAAGAATAGCAAAATCTGCAACCTAAAATACTAGGAATGCTTCTACAGTAACATAAAAATCTCTAAATAAAGTTCTCACTTCATCTTTCTGTGAGTCATCTCTTTCAAGTCCCTCTTTGACCCACTTGGGTACAGCAGCTCACTACAAAGTTCATCTACACTCCTAAAGTACCTTGTACATACCTCATATTATATATCGGTTCTTATGTCTGTCTTGCCTACTAGACTATGAGTGTTTTGAGGGTTAGGATTGTGTCTTGTTCCACCTTTCATTCTCAGATAACAGCACCATTCGGGTTCATATTAAATATTTAATAAGTGTTTACTCAGTGAACAAACATTAGAAACACTGTTGGTCCTCTGTATCTGTGGGTTCTGTACCTGTCGATTCAACTAGCCAAGTATCGAAAATATTCAGAAAAAAACTGTGTCTGTACTGAACATGTACATTTTTTCTTGTCATTATTACCTAAACAATACAGTATAACAACTATTTACATAGCACTTATATTGTATTAGGTATTACAAGTAATCTAGAGACAACTTAAAGTAGATGAGAGGATGTGCACAGATTATATGCAAATACTATGCCATTTTCTATCAGGGACCTGAATATCTGTGAATTTTGGTATCTGCAGGAGGTTCCTGGAACCAATCCCACATAAATATGAAGTGATTTGCAGGATCTTCTTGTTACTACTACCTATCTATCTGTTTTTAGCTCTGTATTTTACAGGTATATCCTACTATTCCATCAGAATCACTGGTCAACCAATATTTAAGAAATTAGAACAGGGCGCAGTGTCACACACCTGTAGTCCCAGCTACTTGGAAGGCTGAGACAGGAGGACTGCTTGAGGCCAGGAGTTTCAGGCTGCAGTGCAGTATGATTATGCACTCCAGCCAGGGCAACATGATGAGATCCTGTCTCTTAAAAAAAAAAGAAAGTATGCCTTTAGCACTTCTCAAGACTACCAAGAGCTTCCTGTCACTGCTTTAAGAAAGAATGGCTTTGAAATCCAGCTAGACATGGTGGCCCAAGAAGACTGCACAATATTTTCGGAGGGAAAAAACCTCCTATTTAGATATGCAATATTGAAATTATAAGCAGCATTTTTAGATGGAATTAAATGCATACAATTTATTTGCTAAATGCTTATAGGATTTCTTTTTCCTAGAATTTTAAAACGTGCCTTGTTTACTGAAACCAATAAAATGAATAAGACCTTCCAGGAGATCTTAATTTAGCAGGGGAGATAAAAGACATTAATCATTGCAGTTAAAGTTTCATGTCTCGGGCCGGGCGCGGTGGCTCATGCCTGTAATCCCAGCACTTTGGGGGGCTGAGGCAGGTGGATCACGAGGTCAAGAGATCAAGACCATCCTGGTCAACATGGTGAAACCTGTCTCTACTAAAAATACAAAAAAAAAAAATTAGCTGGGCATGGTGGCGTGTGCCTGTAGTCCCAGCTACTCAGGAGGCTGAGGGAGGAGAACTGCCTGAACTCAGGAGGCGGAAGTTGTAGTGAGCAGAGATTGCGCCATTGCATTCCAGCCTAGGTAACAAGAGTGAAACTCCGTCTCAAAAAAAAGTTTCATGTCTCAGTTCATATTTGGCATGTTTCAAGATCAACCTAAAAATTATTCCAATATATTTTATACACAGGGGGCTGAAAAATCTAAGTATTCAACTAAGAAAGAAAGTTATCAGATTCATTTAAGAGTACTAAAACTCCAAATCATCAACATCACAGGGGTTATGACATTCTATAGAAATGTTTCTTTTTTTATTCCAATTCATTAGAGAAATTAGGGAATTTAATTTATAATAGCAAGTGATACTCATATTCTGGTGACCAATGCACTCACTTAGTTTAATACTCTTCACTTATCTCTTACACACATGAGAGATTCATACTAGACTGTGATTGGAGAACTAATGTCTCTATAGGCTTAATCAGAGTAATCCTTAAGCAAAAGTATATTTGCTTGGCAAGTCTCTTCCCAACTTGGATATCAACATCCACAGCTATAACATCAGGTGATAGTCCTAAGAAACCACTAAGAAAACATCCAAATAGCTTACAGGTCCAGGACTCTCTAAATTTTTATAACTAGTCTGAACTAGGTTAACCAGATATGGGACCAGGGAAGCTATTAACTAGGAATTTATTTCCAAACTTACGTCTATCATAAAGAATTCACAGTTAAAAGTAAGCTCACAACAATCTTACTTGTGATGCCTAGAAATCTCTTCTGTATTTCCATATATTAATATGTCCCCATTTCAGCTTGCAAATGATGGCATAACACCTTTTGATATGCAGTCTATAGATCAACAAATATTAGTGCATGTAGTCATCTACTGAATTGAGAGTAAAAGCTTAAGGTTTTGTTACTCAAAGTTAGAAGCATTTAATGAGTGATACAATCAGTTTTCATGATAAACACCTCTGGATAAATGTGTTGTAAAAATCCAAGAAAGATAATACAGTAGGAAACACAATTAGACAATTTTATTTAGATCAATCTAGGATATGATCAGTGGCAAGAAAATTGTGGTTAAACTAAAACCTTTTTTTGAGCAATAAACACGCCTAATTAATTATCTTAAAGTTTCATATGTCAAAGTCAATCCCCTTTTGGGCAATGTCATTCTAATGAATTTTCACCTTGTGTTTATAAAATGTGTATTTTCCAATTTGCTTTAACAGGAATAACAATGAATCAAAAGTAGCTATGTAATTTTGCTACCTTGTTTCTTTTTGTATTACTTGCTTTTTAATTTTTTAATATTTTAAAAAAACTTCCATGTTTGGGGGATACATGTGAAGGTTTGTTACACAGGTAAATTGGTGTCATGGGTGTTTGTTGTACAGATTATTTCATCAACCAGGTATTAAACCCAGTACCCAATAATTATATTTTGTTACTTTAATATAGAGAAATATAATACGTTTTAAATTTGTAATATGGACAGAAAATCGATTTTGAATAAGGATGGCAAGTATCTTAAATTCTAGAAATCATGTCATTCCCCTATTGCCCCATTTGTGGTTTCTATAAATGTTCATTAAATTGAATTTCTAGATGTTCATATTTTATCGTTAATATTACCTCTTACAAATTTTCATGAGTTACTTAATTCAAAATGCAGATTGAAATATCCTACCATACTTAAGTCAGTCCTGCAGTTCATTGAGAAATAGCTCTAAAGCCTTAAACAAGACCTTTATTTAGTGTTTTTAAAAAAGTGTCATAAGGAGTTAATAGGACACAGCTGTACAAGCTCTTTCTAACAAGCAGCTTCTGGCGCTTTGGTCACCACAGGTGTCTCTGTAACCTGCAAACTCTTATTACTAGTGTATCAAAGTTGTGCTACTTAACAGACTTCTTTAGTAAAACATAACAAAGCAATTACATGGCTGTTGATTGCCAGTCATAAAAAAAAAAAAAGACCCTCAAACACCGGGTTTCAAAAGAAACTACACTGCAATTTTTTGTCATTGTAAAATAAAAGGAACTAAGGAATTAAATGGAGGATAGAACAAAATAACAGCAGGTAGCCCACTGAACTTAGCCACTACAGATGGTTTAGAAATAGTGTTTCCTTCTCCATCAAGTTGTGGATAAAAGGAAAGGAGGAGATTCCTTACTGCCAGTGAATGGCAAAAGATTTAGCCAAGTCTCCAGTCTCTGTATTTTGCCTCATGAAAGACCTTCGATGTGGCATTTTTATCTGTTTTTGGCACTGCTTTTCATCACCTTTAACTGAGTGTGAATAATAACCTGATTTAATTTAAACAAATACAGGTGCTAAAGATTCTTTATTTATGTATAACGGGAACATTTCAGAAGCAAAACAAAGTCATCCCATGAAATTTCCTAACCATTTGCTTAAAGAAATGAGGTATTAGATTATGAAATTGCTTCAACATTCTTTTGCCTCACATTTAAGGAAAGAATCATCTTCTTTTCTGATTCAGATTAAATAAAACAAAGTCTAAATGATGACCAAAAACTCAGTGAGCCATAAAACAAAAGGCAAATCAGATGGTTTCTAATTGTTCTATAAGTGTTTAAATTAGGTAACTATAATATGCTTGCCTTGAAATGAATTAATTTAATCTCTCTGTTCATAAGTCAGCAGCCTGTGATTATGACTGTGTTAACACACCCAAAGTAGCATCATGGGATGTTATGACCACATGTGTAATTAAACACAATGAAATATATTTCAGATGGGAAACTGAAATAGGTAAAACATGAAGAATTGTTAATCACTTAGAGATATTATGATTAACAAACAAAGTAAACTCATCCTGACAACCAGGAAAGGAATTTTTTTTTTCCTATTGAGAATATAGATGTATTGCTGGCTGTGTGCAAAAGAATGTGTGCAATAAAGCGATTACATCAATTAGCATATGCTAGAGTTAAGCTATTACCAACTCCATTGGACTTGTGCAGAAAGTCCTGCCGTTTTCACTGAAGTTATTAAAAAGTAAACTTACTACTAGGATCATATATTAGACTTGTTTTGCCTTTTCTGAACATCATTGAAAATATCAGTTTTCTCTAAAAGTTCAAAAACATATTAGAAATGTCTGTTGCACTGCAAAAATAAGATGAGAAATGTACTTTTGTCTTCAGGCTATTCTTGAATTTAAAAAGTTTTTATAAGTTAAAGTATATTTTCACAATTGCAAGTAACTATAACGTGTGAGCTGCAATGAGCAGCTTTTGTCTAATGAAATGCAATGGTAGAGAGTTTAATGCTGAAGATGAAAATTGTTTATGATGATGACAAAACGATGTCTGTTTTTTTTTTTTTTACTTAAATAGAAGCCTAACTAATAACTTGTGAACAACAGTATTACCTTGCTCTGTTGGAGTCCTTTGTCAGATCCCAAGCCCAGGTTATAAAATTTTGACTCAGATAAGAAACAATGGATTCAGCACAAAGCATTTGTGAGCAGAACACGTTGGTTAATACACTTTCATCATGGTGGAGGTAGATAGCAAGAAGCTTTCTCTGAAAAGAGGAGAAAAATCTGATCAATTAAAATATCCACTAATGTAAGATTTCTTAAATTTTAGAGAGGCATAATTAGTCTATATGAACAGTAAAGACAAAAATTAAATGCTATTCCCTAAAAGAGTATTTTACATTTTGGAGTTCCTAAAGCATCTAAAATATCAAAAAATTTTGCTTCCTTACACTTTAAAAAGGCCAGGATGATTATATCTAATTTTGCAGACTGTTATTGCAGATTTCTGTTAACGTGCAAGCCTATCTCAAATGAAGTTGAAATAGAACTGTATTCTCCTTAAAGAAAATGAATTTACCATCTTTTTCTTTTTATGTAAAGAGAAACATTAACTTTGAACTGTTCAACAACATAGAGAAAAAAATTCATTAAAACAGAATGACAAAATTTGTCTTACATATTTTTTATGGTTTTAATCTAAACAATGGATAGTATCCTCCATTTGAAGGGAAAGGGTCTGAAATGAAGTTTTGTTCTTGTTCTATAGATAATTTTAAAGTCCTTAATATATTCCCACATTAAGCCCTTATTTAACAGCATGTAACATCTAACTGCCATATGAAAAGATGGAAAAATATTCAGTTTATATGCATTCTTTCTAGTTTGTATTTCAGAAAATGTCCACTATGGTTTGTCATATGGAAAATTATTCTTTCCCTTTCACCATAATAAAAGTTGCCTTCAAGAAATGACTTTTGGTCTCTTAAATGTGCCCTCTGTTATAGTTGGATACTCAATACAATAATTAAAACTAAAAACTGAACTTGAACAAGATAATAAGTATAATAGAAATAATGGGTGTAAGTAGCCATATATGGTTTACAACAGGTTAGCTTTACCAACAATGACTATAATGATTAAAGAGCTCAAATTGTTGACTAACTTCTTGGTACTACCTCAAAGAAGAGCTCAGTTTAAGATTACTAAGACAATATACAAACCAATCTGTGAAATTCTGCCAAAAGAAAATTTCAAGGAAGCTTAGTATCTTTCCCTTCATGTTAAATAAGAATGTGATGACAGCAAATAAAAATTTGCTGTGTGGGATTCTGAACAAAAGAAGGATACTAACAGAAAAATATAAGGTTCATGCTGATGAAAGGCTAATGAAATCTGATGTTAGGAATTACCTTGATAAAGAATCCAAGTAATAGTAATAGTAATTATCACTAAAATTATTTTCTTCAAAGGTAAATTTTATACTAGATGAGGGTAGCCACAGTTAAGTAGATTAAGATTCTAAAAGCATCTACTATGAATAGGGGACACTGTTACTTTCACAACCATATGTACCTTAATTTCCAGAATAAATCTTTAAAATAGCATCCTTAACCCCATTAGAATATGAGGAAACTGAGGTTTAGAAAACAGACTTGTCCCAAATTTCACAGCTAGTTAGTAGGTAATACAATGAGGACTGGCTCCTAGATTGTCTAACTGCAAGTCCAAGTCTGTTTTTTTTCTCTGATACTACAGTGGTAGCAGGGAAATCAACCACACTGTAGTCAAGGCTTGTGGGAGCACTCATGTAACATGAAGATGCCAGACTGCTTTGAACTGAGACTCAGACGGCTTGTAATGGGAATAAGGGCAGGACTCCTGGGTATAAGTAGCTCAGCTGATCCCACCCTGCTTCTATGTGTTAATTCATTTATTCATTCATTCAACAAGCATTTGTTGAAATACTCTTTGTGTCAGGCTCAGCAGGAAGCAGTGGCAATAAAATGGTGAACAAGAAAGACTCAGGGTTTCTTCATCTATGTTGATGTCTGCAAAGAACAGTATCAGGCTTCTAGGAGGTTTGTAATCAGATACATTCTTAGAGATACTTATCTAGTAAATTCCTACTCATCCCATAAGGCTCAAAACAAATGCCTCTATGAAACCTTCCTTGACTCTGTCAGGCAGAGTTAAGAGCTTCCTTTCCTGGGCTTTCCTTCTCTTTCCATTAGTAATGTAATTGTTTACCAGTTTCCCCTCTAGATTAACTTTCTCAAGGGAGAGGATGAGGTCTCTTTAAGTCTTCTTTGCATCTTTAAACTAGCATGGGTCTCAGCCTGTTTGATGAAAGAAACAACACTGATACAAGCCACGGTTCCTTGACAAAAAAGATACCCAATAGCAGTGGCAATGCAAAATCCGTTTTAGTAAGTGAATCAAGAATTCTGCTGATTTAGGGAAAGTAACGGGAACCTGGCACCATTAACAAATTCAGAGCTCCTCTTCTTAGGAGTTCTCTAACTGAATAGACAGAGGGATGTCAACCTCTCATTCAGCTTGATCGTATCTCAGCAACTACATTTAATGAGACACTGGGAACAAGAGAGCTGTCCACTTTAAAATCAGCATATTTCTAACTAAACAATGGCAATGGCTAAATCTTTAAAATGACTGTTTCTCTCAAGAACACTGCAATGGAACATTTAGACTTTGGGAAAGAGATTAGTGATTTACATTGCTATCTTACTGATTTAATTTAAATGCTCTTCCAAACTAAACACACATGTGCCGAAGAGGCTACTAAGAAACCCAACATGCAGAGTTCCCTATAAGTGCGCCTGACAGTGTTGACTGAAACTAAACTTGGAAATCCAGGGCACTAATGCACAATATCAAGCAATAAAACAGCATCTCTTTGGCAATATTTAATTTAAAAAAGAAGAAAGAGGGAGGCGAAGATCAGGCACTGTCTGTTTTGGAGGATCAACCATTCTGCATTTCAAAGCATTGGTCCCTGCAATATCCAGGTTACTGTGCTAGAATCTCGACTATTATATCGCAGTTGTGAGAGGGAGGGCAAAGATGTGTTTACTCAGTGATTAGGCCCTTAGAATAAGCCTCTAGCTCCTAGAGAGACAGCTCACCACTTATTCATTTGGGCCAATTCACAAAGCCTAGGAAGATTAAACATCCATGCTGAGAAGACAAGCGAATGCAGACGGTGAAAAAGAAATAAAAATTCTTTAAAAACTCTGAGATGACTTCATTATTTTTCCACAAGGAAACTTTAGGAAAGTGTTTAGTTAGAGAAAAACCCACATTGACCTCTCTCTAAACCCTTAATCTTTCCTTTGTGGTGGCACTGCTTTGTGGTAAGCGACTGGCTCGACTCGCCCCTCTTTTCACCAGAAGCTGAGAGAAAAAAGACTCTGGAGAAACAGTTTTCGTTCCAGGGACACAAACCCCTGACACTGTTAAACATGAGATGCCAGGAAAACACACTTGAAAAAATTCCCACTTTAAGCTCTAGACTGAATGTGAGAAAGGAGATGATAAAAAGAGTATCACAAGAGAATCTTCAGGCTGTGGGTACTACCACAAGTAGCTTTCAACAAGAAAATTAGTAATTTTTAAATAATCTTTTCTCCAACGTAAGATTTCAACAAAAAATTTTCTGCTGCTTTTATGACAATAAATAAGCAAAATATAAAGACTCTTAATAGTATGGAAGTGCTACTAAATTTGGGCTATTTAAATCTGATTACATTATAGTCACAGATAAATGAACTCCAGACTCAGATTTATGATTGCCTTACTGAGCTCAATTAAGTACAGGCCAAAAGAGTGAGAACTGGGTTCAGTATATCAACCAATTTGGAAGAGATGAAATGACAAAGTAATCAGAAAACTGCTTTCACGAAGAAAAGCAGTACCACAGAAAACACGTAAGAAAATGCTTTGATTTCCATTACTTTAATCAGTTTTTCCTTTGGCCCATTAATAATTTAGTTCAATACCATTTAAGGAGTACCTATGTGTTAGGCATTGAGACTATAAAGAGGAACAAAACAGTTTCCTTACCCTCAAAAAGTTGTGGGAAACAATGTGGGAGGCAAACGTTTAACTGTGGTACCATTTAACAAATGATAATACTGGGGCATTAAAAAGAATATATTTTATTTGTCCTTCATAATTTGGCAGAGAGGGTCTAAGTCTGGTGGACCACGAAGGCAAAACAACCCAGCCACACTATCCTGACTCCCTCTCTGTAATCTAAGTTTTAGTAACACAGTGCAAAGGGAAGTTTCCAAGCTTTAAACTAACAGAGAGCTCTGTTCTAAATCCAGTTCTGCCACTTAGCAGCTGTGTGACCATGGGGCAAATGGGTTGTTGTAAGCATTGTGGATAAAGTAAATTAAGTACCTATTTACAATACCTGGCCCACAGTAGGTGCTGAATGAAAGGTAGCTGTTACGATGAAGATTCCTGAACTATCCATGCAAAATAAAGGGTTTTGAAAGCAATTTCAAGAGAAATAATGGTCATGAAAATGTATTAAAGATTAAGCAGCTCCGTCATTTTTCCTACTGGCAATAGTCTCTGGGATGTTTATTGTGTCTTTGTGTTTGGTGCCTCACTAATCTTCACATTCAAATACAGGAGCTAAGGTACAGTTGATACTTAAGAAATGCCCAGCTGACAGCAACCAATGTCACTTGGCCTTGAGCTACAGCAGCTATTGTATTTAGACTCTTAGTGTCACAGTACTATAGAATATTAGAGCTGGAAGAAATATGCTGTGTTTCAAAATAAGCCAGGCAGAGAGCACATATAAGGAAATATTTGCTGATGAACTAAAAAGGAAGGGTTGCTTTTTGAATACCAGAACATCCATAATCTGCATGTTCAATGCTTTTAAAGTTGATAGGACAATTTCTGGGAATGGTACCATGTAGTTCATAGTGTTTTTCAGTGTAAAAATTATAGTATAAAATAATTTCCTTTGTGTAAATTGGACCTGACGTGCTTTCTCTCCTTCCCATTTCTGTTCTCCGTTTCCCTCATCATTATCATCACCATAGTAATCAGAATCATTATCACTATGACTTTTTAAGTTTGGAGATGGCTCATTGATACAAACAATGGATACAATGATACAATAAACACCCATTTATTCTTCACCTATATTACCAATTATTAGCATTTTGCCATATTTGCTTTATCATTTTTTCAATATTTCTTTCCATGAAACATTTGAATGTTG